ATACTAAACCTATAAATATATGCACATAGATCTATTTCCCCATCCTCATATATAAATATATTTGCATATGTACATGCCTTTATCTATTCTTCTATAAATGCCCTTTGGGTATTGGCCATTTTTAATCAGAAAATCATTTGGGTTACTATACTGGGAATGACAAATTCAAAAGGAATGGTGTTTTTTTGGCAAAAAGAACATTTTAAGTCCTTTCTTGAAATACAGTGCTGCCTGTGACAAGACAATATCTATACACATACATGGAAATTCCATTTTTATAACCATGATTCAAATGTATACACCAAACACTAGGGTTGTAATGACGAAATGGAATTCTACCAATTATTTCAATCTGAAATTGATCAAACATGCACTCAATATACAGTGGTAATTATTGGCCACTGGGATGCAAATGTTACAGACAAAGAGGAAGGAACAGTAGTTGGAAGTATGGTCTCGGTGACAGAAACAAAGCTGGAGATTGCATGACAGAACTTTGCAAGACCAATGCTTCTTTATTGCAAATATCTTTTTCCAATAAGATAAAATACACCTGGACTTCACCAGATGGAATACACAGGAATCAATATGATAAATCTGTGGAAGAGACGATAGAGACCCTCGATATGGGCCAGCGGCTGACTGTGGAACACACCATCCTGTGCTCATATGCAAATTCAGGTTGAGGTTGAAGAAAGTTATAACAAGTCCACGAGAACCAACATACAACCTTGAGTATATCCCACCTGAATTTTGAGAGCATCTTAAGAAGAGATTTGAGAGGGCGGGTTGGAATGGGGGAACTGATTACAAGGATCTACCTATAGCCTCATCCCTGGGGGATGGACAACAGAAAAGTGGGTGAAGAGAGACATTGTCAAAAAGAGATATGAAAAAATAATAATTTGCAAATTATCGAGGGTTCATGAGGGAGGGGGGAGCGGGTAGGGAGGGGGAAAATGAGCTGATGCCAGGGGCTTGGATAGAGAGCAGATGTTTTGAGAATGATGAGGGCAATGAATGTACAAAGGTACATTACAAAATGATGTATGTATGGATTGTGATAAGAGTTGTATGAATATTAAAAAAAAGAATATTATCATCTTTAATACCCTAGGGGAAAATAATAATAACACTCTTAAGAGAATAACTCAGTAAGTTGTCAAAGGAATTATAACATAGAAGGAACTTCCTTTTTGGTGAAACATTAATCAAAGTGTTCATAAAATGTAAAAATACAAATGTGAATTTAGATGAGAAAATTTTGTGCTTTAGAAAATGTTCAATTCAGAGAAATCTGATATAAATCATGTAGCACTTAAAAAAAAAGAATAGGTTTGAATCACTGAACACTAATGACAGAATACCTCACAAGATGTGGGATGATATCAAGAACATCGTATATGAAGAAAGCAAAAGTCGCTAAAAAGGTAAGGAAGAAAGAAGAGACCAAAGTGGACGTCAGAAGAGACCCTGAAACTTGCTCCAGCGGAGTCCACCTGTGCACGCAGCTGGGGAAGGAAGTAAACCGAATGGTAGCACCACTGCCCACCCCGGCCTGCCTCCCTGCGGACTTCAAGCTTTTATGTTTCTTCCAGCTGGGTTTGCTTGATGACTATGGATAAGGAGACAAACACAGAGCATCACTGTGAATTTGGTTATGTGTTCAGTGTTTTCCTGTGAGGCTCTCACAGTCAAATCACTCTATGGAGGTAACTTAGACTGGGGCTGTGGGGAGAAAGAGAAGAGTATGGGTGGGGGTTGAACAGCAGAAAGGACCCAGCAGTGCACGTGGAAAGTTTCCCTCCTGGGCAGTGTACTTCAGCTGCTCTGGCATGGCTGTGTTCCTCTTTCACTTCTGGACCATCACCACAGGGCTGCAAGGGGTCTCCCAACACGAAGACAGATTTTATTGGCAAAGACCCTCCAACCATGCCCTATGCAGGCGGGAAGTTGGCACTTACTGTGCTGATGCCAGCTTGAGTTGTGCTTGCATTTCTACCCATTCTTCCTTTATAATTCTTCCACACTGCAGTAGCTCCCTCGACAGTCTCTCTGCTTTTCCCAGGTTCTCTGAAGCTTCCTTAAATCTGAGCTGTGTTCAGGAAAGGTTAGACCAGGTTCAACATCCTGAAATCCCAGTCCTTAGACTTTTGGGGCTCACACTTTCTGAGCCATCAGTCAACTGTTTAGTAAAGTCAGGGAGTGAAATATATGATTCGAATGATTATATGTAAAAGGATACTTTTGAAGTGAGGTCAAGGCTCTAGCCATGGTGTGAAAAAGTTCAACTGAACATTTGAAAACATCTGTATTGTTGCTGAAGGAAAACTCGATGGAGTCGGTGAGAATTTCTTGGGCTTTTTCTATATGTTGTTTTGCTTGCAGCGGCAACCCTGTGAACAAAGAAAACGAGGCCTCCGTTTCTCTTCCCTACTGCTGGATGGGGATTTGGTGGTTTACAGCCAGGAACCTAGCAAGATCCCTTCCCACCTCATCCAGTAGTGCATGGAAGGGCCTGTGAGCAGCACTTCCAGGAGTCTCCACACGAGACCACACGAGACAGGGGCAGGTGACGACATCACAGTCTGCTTCCCTAAAGATGCCATCCTGACCAAATAGCAAAGATGTGTTTTACATTGAGCACTCTAGGTAGACCTTTCCAAAAGTGGTCCTTCTAGAAATAAAACAAACAGAACAAGCTGGAGCTGAACAGCTTTGAAACCTCCCCAACATCAATATGTTATAAATAATTACAAAAAAAAAAAAAGAAACTAAATGGGATACAAAGGGCTATATCCTTCTGGGTCAGAAGGAAGATAGATCCTCGTGAATTTTAATGCTGGCTTGTGACAGTCATCTTAATAAAACAGTAATTTTTTTAAAAAGTGTAATCTTCATTTCACCCATTTAAAACCATCGCTTTACAGGGCACCACAAAAAATTACCAATACAACTCCTAGGAGGCAAGAGACTAACGTGTAACAATCGCTTATTCCTGAAACAAACTGGCGAGTAAGAGCAGGAAATTCGTGCATCCCAGTGTTCTGTCAGCAGAGATTTGCCAAGTTGCTAAGATGCTGAGTAGGTTTCAGCGGCGTCTCCAGGCCGAGGCAGACTAGGAAGATAGGCCTGGTGGTATACTTCTGCGAACTAGCTAATGAAAACCCTGTGGGTCATGATGGTCTGATCTGCTACCACCCACGGAGATGGCACAAGCCTGAGCCGGGCTTCATTCCATTGTGTGTGGGGTTGCCATGCGCCAGGCTGACTCAACAGCAGCTAACAACAGTGCTCCTCTATGCTCCTCGCTCTGACCCACCTCCCTTCCTCATAGGCTTACTCCCACCCATACCCTAGTCTTATGTTTGTAACTGCATGGAATTGAATCCCCAGTCTCTTAAGAAAACCTGCCAAAACATGAAGCCAATTCTGTCCACATGTCAACAGAAGAATATATCATCTCTTAAAGAAAATCAAGTGGAAGACATTCATGTGAGAGTGCTTACTGAATTTTGTTTGCCTTGAAAAACGATTTCAAGGAAATATAATATTTAAAAATGTAATGAATAATTTTATCTGAAGTAGAATATGAAATTTCTTCATTAAAATAATATTTTTTAAAAATATATAAAATAACTGAAAAATTGAATGGATATTGGTGGGTATAGCTTTAAAATATGATGTCATTTTCTGGAATTGAAAAGTAAAATACCACTTTTAAATTACAATAACCGAGTCAAGCACAAACAAAAAACAACAAAAAACCCTATTCCTTTGTAAGAGTGTAATCTCCTGGTGGACAGGCTTTTGTCTGCCTTGTTTGCTGCTATATCCTCATCACCAACTGCGGTGCTTAGCAGTACGAGATAATAAAACTTGTATTAAACAAATGTTAAATGAGTATAGTTATAGATTTAATTGACCAGATATCTATTAGTGTCAATTATGCATGAAATATTACAAATGGTATGGCAGGCTGTATTTTTTCTATCATGACCCATGCCCTCAAAGAACTTACACTCAGTTTATAGTTTTGGATGAGGTTTAAGAATGGCTCTGGAGACGCATAGCCCAGATCGAATTCCTTGCCCCACGACTTGCTATGAACACAGTTTCTTTAACTCTAAATGGGAGTAATGACATAGCCCACCTAACACAAGATGGTGAAGATTAAATGAGAATGTGCATAAACAAGTTTGATTAGTGCTTGCCAATCATAAGAGCTTAATAAACATTAGATTAAAAACAAACCATTAAATAAGAAAAGAGTATTGACATAGGAAAGGCAGAAGGCTAAGGGTAAAGATCATCACTTGGGGCTCCAAACGCCAGGACTCTGGGCCTAGCAATGGTGCTCCCGTGCTGTCCCAGGATAGGAGAACAGTGCGACCTGGAGCAAGTGGCTTCCACCCGGTCTGTGCTTCTTCTGACTTTGATCAGGGGCGGAATTCAACTGGATAACCTCTGAGATCCCCTTTGGCTCTAAAAGCCTTTGAATCTAACAGGCAGGATAAGTCTAAAATCAGATGTGACCAAATTTGGCAATTGAATTCTTGACATTGTTATTTTTGTATATATATTATCTGTTCACTGGAACAATCATGGAGAATTAGTCTCACATTATTATCATTGAGTAGTCTTATGTTCTTAACTACACGGAATTGCATCCCCAATTTATGGGAGCAGAAAGCCTCATCCTTATATACTGGAAGTCTGCTGATCTTCTCTCTCCATATCCACTCTCTCTCCTATTTTCCTTTGGGGACATCACAGGGCTTTATCTGAGGCCAATCTCTCCCCGGGGATCCAGCGGAAGCAAAAGATGTTGGCACACAACCCAGTTAGAATGCTCAGATTGTGGGGTTTGGTGGAAGAGACCTTCTTTTTCTCTGGGGAATGCTGAAGAGGCCAGCCTAACGCGGCTGGTTACCTCCTTGACACCACGCAGACAAAGCTTGGCTAAGAATGGAGCCAACACAGAAAAAATTATTGCCGAGAAAGTGGAAGGAGAGAAAGACTAAAATCTTGATCCCATGGTGGAAACCCCCGGATCTGATGGGTTTTATCTTGGGATTTTTCAGTGGTACGAATCAACAAGTCCCCCTTTGGTTTATGCTTTCGATTTGTTCGGTCACTTGCAATAAAGAGGCTCTCAATCCACATGAATGTGATTGGACCCCACTCTGGGCACATGCAGTGCGCCCCGGGCTCTGCCACATGCCTTCAGAGCTAACAGAGTAATTCTCTCCCAAGAACACTAGTCTTAAGATCACCAAAAGCAAAACTAAGAAGGAGTGAAATCTTTTCCCCTTGACTTTTTACATATACTTGCTATATATTCTCCTGACTACTTATAACAGGAAGCTACTTCCCAAGGTTTGAAGAGGAAACTATCCAAGAAAATGTCATCATTTTAGTTAAATATGAATCAAATTTGGGAAGAGATCAGAACACAAATAACTGCTCCCCTGCAGTCTGAGAAGAGCTCACCTTTCAACTGGAGGTAGCCTTGAGCCAGATTAACATAGGCCTCTGCTAGTTTCCAATGTGAGTCACCATAGCAAATTCTTGTCAATGCAACACAACGCACAAGCTCCTGGATGGCTTGTTTGTACTATGAGGAAGAAAATATGGGGTTAGCATTAATATACCCATTCAGAGTCATCACACTTATCGGGACCCTGTAGGACAGAGCAAAACTGCCGCACTGGGTTTCCAAGGCTGTGAATCTTTAGGGTAGCAGAAAGCCTCTTCTTTTCCCCACAGAGTGGCTGGTGGGTTCAAACTGCTGACCTAGTGGGTAGCAGCCCAATGCATAATGCATCAGAGCTCCTTTGCGTCAAACTCAACTCAATGGCCACGGGTTTGGTTTTTTGTTGTTGTCAATTATTAAGAGTTGTAAAGGAGCAAAATTAAATTCTGTAAGTCTATATAGGACACCTACTAAGGGTAGACCTTGTTCTAAACACTTCTAGCACATCAGAAAACAAAACAGACTAAGATAAACATTCCTGCCATTGGAAAGTTATATTCTGGCTGTGTAAACAAGAAATTATTTGGTGCACTTAGAGACCCCTGGATGGTACAAAAATGGTTTAGCACGCAGCTACTAACTGAAATGTTGCAGGTTCAGATCTACCCACAGGAACCTTGGAAGAAAGGCCTAAGGATCCACTTCTGAAAGATCCTAGACACTGAAAACTGTGCGAGCCTGACACAAAGAGAAGAGGAACATGCGGAGCTGCTTCAGTGGAAACTGGTTTGGGTTTGGTATAAAAAGAACCACTGCCATCACGCTGATTCTAATCCGTACCTTGTGATAGTTGTTTTTTTGTGCCAACATGACTCCCGTAGGAACATGTAAGCAGAGTTTAGTTTATTAATCAGGCTGCAGCTTGACTGGAGGGCAACCAAGATAAATGGCTCTTTCTCTTTCTTCCTGGTGATCAGACCGGCAAGCTGCTGCCTGGGTTAGCTGCTCTGCCTCAACTGTGTGCTGCACTACCTGTGGGCCAAGCTAACCAGTGGATCATGGTGGATCCTGTTGTCGTGCTATGCATCACTACATCTTGAAATTCCAATCCTGACCTGCTTCGAGATGCTGCTGCTGTGCTACTGGCCTCTGCTATGCCTCGACAGCACATCGTCCTGCTGTTGCCGCCCCACTTTGCCATGTCTGCTGCCTGCAGGGCCGACAGTGCTCATCTTGCCTGCAGACAGACTCTGTACCTCCTGCCAGCCACTTCGCTGTCTGCTTCCTTGACCTTGGACCAGAGGTTGGTGTGAGTAGGAAGGACCTTCAGTGTAGTACCTGTCCCACCAACTTGAGTTGAATTGAGTCCTCCATACTGCTCTTTGGATGAATTAGCTATTGTATTCTTCTCTATATAAACCCATCCAGATAGATATATAGACAATCATAAGTGTCCTGGTTTTGTTTCTCTTGAGAACCCTGCCTAACACATACTGACTTATACAAACTTTCTGAGACTAAATCTTCATGGGAGCAGAGGTCTCATCTTTCCCTTGCGGAGTAGCTGGTGGTTTTGAACTGCCAGCTTTGATGTTAGGAGAACAACTATATGTAGTGCACTTGAAGGTGAAAAAGGTAGTGGAGTAAAGATTCTTCTTTATTTCTTCTTTTCCAAAAAGAAAAAAAGCAGAACAGACATCTTATTAGTGCTTCGATTTTCCAGCCGCCCATCAATAAACAACTACTATACACAGCATATTCAGATATAATAAGTGGACAAATGGTAAGAGTTTCCAACTGCAATTTAGTTCTCAGCTCAAATATTTTCCTTAGCGGCATATAATTGTAGCATAGCAAGTTAGATGAGCAACCCTGACAAACACTTGCTGTTTGTGGTTTTAAACGCATTTTATTGAAGGAGTGGGAAGTACTTTTCCATCCCCTTCCTTCGAATCAGGACTTTCTGTTTAACAAGAGAATAGGGCAGAAGTGATGCTGCGCTTCTTGGGGCAACTTCCACTTTCTGGCTCTTGGAACCCTGCCACCCTACTTTGAGGAAACCCACACTCCCCTATGGAGAGGGCCACCTGGAAAAGATCGGATAGCCAGAACCAATTAGTCAGCCCCGCGCACACAGCACGGCCCAGGACATGCTGCATAGAGCAGAGCTGACCACGCCCCACTGAGCTCTGTGTAGATCACAGGTCCATGGGCAGCATGAGTGACTGTTTCCTTCAAGCCACTAAGTTGTAGGGTGCAATACATAACCAGGATGCAAGGCAGAAGGCAAGAGACGAAAGAGCTAATTAAAGAAGGGGGCAAAGCAAAGGAAGAAAAGTAGGTCATAGTTACAGAGGAGATACAGAAGGCTAAGGATGAACGCCAGTAAATATTTATGTTCAGAGCACCTATGTTTCCAAAGAAGGCACGTTCACCTTGAAACAACATACTTCTAACAAAAAGATAGAGGACCACAAGAGAGTCACTTTTGCAGCAATTTTAAGGATTAGATGGCCTATAAAATGACATTTATTGAATGTATAAATGTGCTTTACACAATTGATGTATGGATTGTGATAAGAGTCGTATGATCCCTAATAAAGTGATTAAAAATGACATTTATTGGGATAATTAGGAAGTTGAGGGTAAGGTTCAAAGATTAGCTAAAAATACTGTACGAATATCAATTTCCTATTTTCAATCACTGATCTGTGGTTATGTAGAAGAATATCTCTGTTCTTATGAAAGATTCACTGAGGTGTTTAGGGGAAAAGACCATAACATCTGGAACTTACTCTGATAGTTCGGAAAAATAATTAAACAGATAGAAAGGGGGATAGGAAGGGAAGAAAAATAACAAAAGCAAATGTTAACATTTGTTAAATTATAATTTTTTCTCTAAGTCTAAAAAATAAAAAAGGTTTAAATAAAAAATTATCTACCCCCGCAAATGTCTTGAAGTAGATTACATTAATCGTTTGCTGAAACTGCTTTAAGGCTTCCTAGGACATTTAGCTTGAAGCCTGAACTCCTTATGGTAGCCTGCAGGCCCCAAAAGATCTGACTGCTTCCTCTTCTCGGAGCAGCCTGAGGTGATCTGCCAAATGGTTCTCTACTCAATTGACTCAGAAAACCCCACAAAATCACACAAATCAAGAGGGCTGAATCTTCAGGTCCATTTTAAGAACACCCATGAAACCGCCCAGGTCAGCAAGGGGATGCGTATTCAGAAAGCCACCAACTATTTGAAAGATGTCACTTGGCAGAAGCAGTGTGTGCCCTTCCAGTGTTACAATGGTTGAGTTGGTAGGTGTGCCCAGGTCCAACAGTGAGGTTGGACTCAGGGTCGGTGGCCCAAAAAGAGTCCTGCATTTTTGCTGCACATGCTTAAACATGCAGAGTGCTGCTGAACTTATGTTTAGAGGTGGATTCTCTTGGGCATTGAGCACATCCAGGAGACCAAAGCCCCAAGATGTGCCACCGGACTTACGCGCTCATGGTCATTGAATGACTGACATGACCCTGACTGAGAAGGAACACATTGTTCCTAAACCAGAAGAGGAGGCTTCTCAGAAGAAAAGATCTCCCAGAAGAAGTGGAAAAACTTATGGCTCAGGACAAAATGAAACTTAAAATAAGAGCTAATAAAAGTTTAAAAAACAAAAAGAAAGAAAAGATCTGACTGCCTCTCCAACGGCCTCGCGTGTGAACCCACTGGCTTCCTCTCCACCGCGCCCAGGCCTCTCCGGCAGGGCTCACAGGGACAGCACTGCTCCTGCTCCCGCGGGCGTTTTCCCTGGGAGACTCCCGCTGGGGTCTTCCTCATTTTCAGACCTCAGACCCTATTTCACCTGTTCCTCGAGGCCCCGCCCTGACCACCCTACTCAAGATGGGCCCACTCTGCTTCCTCCACCTCTAATCACCTGTTTTCCCGAGTCAGCTTCTGGGCTTACAGCCCAGGGTAGCACCATCATTTGTGTGCCATAGTGAAATGTACTCTCTGATAACACTCTCGCACATCAAATTCCTGCCAGTCTTACGTCGTGACTCACTCACCAGAGTACAGTATAGCAAACCCCCACAGGCTCCTTACACAGTGACTGCTGGAATAGGACTTGGCTCTTTCTTCACAGAGCTGCAGCTTCTCCCGAGGAGGCTGGAACAGGGCAGTCTGCGGCAGCTTGGCTTGGGTCTTCTTTCTAGGCACCAGGCTGACCGCAGCAACAACTTCATCGAGGTGGTTGAATGTGTGCATTTCTTCTGCTTCTTGCATATTTTTATATACATTGCCCACTAATTTTCAAATAAAAATAACAATGTCAATGTTAATATCCATAGTTAATTTTAGAAATACACTTTTTCCCTCTTAGAAATGGAAGCTATGTATCTAGGATACTTCCAACACTATATCTCTCACTTGTTTTAAATTAGTGGCATTGTAACGGAACAGATTATGGTGTCTAGAATTGCTTTCTTTGTAAAACCTACAGGCTAGTGTCCACTTACAACTGAACTGAATATTCTGGTTGATTGAAATCAAATAAAAAACATATACTATGTATGCAATGCCAGCAGAAATGTGCTGAGCCCCACTAACTCCCCACAAGCCCAGATGAGATCAGCTGAACTCTAACTGATCCACAGACCCAGGAGGGATCAACATGAATGACTGTTAGACTTCCACTTCTGGTCTGGATGGAACAATAAGGATTGACTTCATCTCCTACTTGAAATAACCAACCAAACAAATAAGAATGTCTATAAATGCAAAAAGAAAGAAAACAAGAGAGAGAGAGGGAGAGAGAAAGGCCAGAGACCAAAGTTATAAAATAATGGTTTCTAAAACATAAGACACCAAGCAGGGACACAGTAATTTCTGAGAGATGGAGAATAAAACCCAGGTGAAACTTCTGGTTATGCCAGCTTATTGCTGTGTGATAGTGTGCAGGCTGAGGTGCAGGGAAGGGGCACTCCAAAGGAAGCCAAAGCATAACCTGATTTGAGAAAACAGGGATGGGAGCCAAGGGAGATGGAGAGTGGAATTTGTGGACAGGTCACTGGGGGGAAGAGAGCTGTGCAGAGCTGTAGAGCGTGGACCCCGAAGATTAGCAGAGAGATTGATCCAGTTTGGGAGAGATTACTGTTAAGTCTGAGTCTGGAGATGGGATTACCCGACAGCCATAAAGAAAACAGTGCTGACGGGCACACACGGGGTTGGCCAGGACTTATCCTCACCAGACATACTAGAAAACTCATAATTCATGAGGAATTCAGTAAAATATTCTGGAGGGTCCAACAGTGGGAATAACCATGCCTAGATTGAACATTGTTCAGACCCAGCTAACACTTCATAAAAGCAAGACTTAAGAGGATCCAATTATTTCTAAGTACTATAGAGCAAAACTCAAAGCTGTTTATGGTTGAAACTGACTGAAAACTGGCAGAGATGTTAAAAATAGACAGAAAGGCATTACAATCATTATTATAGCTACATTCTATATTCTCAAAAAGTTAAGTAGAGACATGGGGGGAGGAGACTCAAGTTAAACTTCTAGATATAAAAATTAAAATGTGTAATGTGCAAATTGCAATAGATGGAGTTGATGAAACTTGAAGATGGCAATAGAAACTATCCAAAATGAAAAAGAGTAGTGAGCTGTGACATGGCTAACTGTGTACATACTGTGTATATATATATATATATATAGTTTCAGAGCAGAAGATGGAGGAGGAGGCACCAAAAAATCCGAAGAAATCATGGTGATTCCCCACCCTCCCCCCCAAAAAAATTGCAGGAAAATCCAGAGATCTAAGAAGTACAATAATCATGAAATACAAAAAAGAAAAAAGAAACAAACATAAAGAAATGACACCAAGGCAAATTGAAATTTAATTGTTCAAATCTATAATACAGAGATACTATTAGACATAGCCAGAGGGGAAAGGCACATTGAGTACAAAGGAATAAAGATATGGAAGCCAGAGAATTCCTGGAGGAAACAAGCACACAGGATAATAACGTAGTACTTTCAAAATAGAGATATAAGGCTACCAAGGTGTGAGTTTACATCAGTGAGAATATATTTCTAAAACAAACTGAATGAATTCTCCACCAAACAATTTGCACTACAGTATTCTCAAGGGAATGTCACAGGAAGTCTTTCACGTGGAAGGAAAATGAGAGCAACGGGAAATTGAGATGACGCAAAATCGCACAGAAGAGTGGAAATGGCAACTACAGGGCACGTGGATAACGCTGTTTCCATAATACGTAAATAATCAATGAAGACTGTGTAAACAAAAATCATGGATTTGGGGATTTATAACAACTAGACCAATAAACAACATCACGATAAAAAGACAAGCATTGAAGTCGCCAAGGATTTCATTTTACTTGGATCAACAATCAACATTCATAGAAATAGCAGTTAGGAAATCAAACAACATATTGCATTGGGGAAATGTGTTCAAAAGACATCTTTGAAGCATTAGAGCAAATGTATCACTTGGAGGAGTAGGTGTGCCTGACCCAAGCCACGGCATTGTCAATGGACTCACATGCATGTGAAAACTGGGGAAGCATCGAGTTATCCGAATGACGGTGTTGGCTAAGAATATTGAATATGCTATGGATTGGCAGGAGAATGAACAAATGTCTTGGAAGAAGTACAGCCAGAAGGCTCCTTCGAATCAAGACTAGCTTGATTGTATTTCATGTACTTTGGATACCTTGAGAAGAACCTCGAGCTTGGTAAAGTAGAGGGTCAGCAAAAATGAAGACCTTTAACAAAATGGATCGTCACAGTGGCTGCAACAATGGGTGCAGACATAACAACTGTGAGGGTGCTGTAGGACCCAGCAGTGTGGTGCTTAGGTTGCTGTGAGTCAGAACCAACTCGGCAGCATCAAACAACGACAACAACACATGAAGAAGTAAAATAAATAGCAATAACATAAAAGCTCGTGGTCATCAAGCAGATTGCAACCCAACAGGGCAGAGCAGAACTGCCCCTGTGGGATTCTGCGTCTGTACATCTTTATGGAAATAGAAAGCTTCATTGTTCTCCTGGGGGGAGTAGAAATGAGGTTCTATTCTCAACGTGAGGGAACCCTCATGGTAAAGGGTTTAAGTCTGAAGCACCCACCCCCAGCTGCTCTGTGGGAGAAAATGTGGCAGTCTACTTTGCAAACTCTATGGGGCAGCTCTAATCTGTTCAATAGGGTTGCTGAGTGTCAGAATCAATTTGGCAGCAAGGGTTTGGTTTTTTCATTTTCTACATGAAAGTAAACTAAAGATATATAGTACAAACCCTGTAACAACCATTAAAATAAAATGGAGATAAAAATTGAGCTAAAAATAATCTGAAAGCCCAAGTATAGGCTATCTATAAGAAATCATTTTAATTATAAAGACATGAATGGGTTAAAAGTAAAGGACATAAATTAATATGATATCCTATACTTAATAAAAAATACACTTGGAATGTCTATCTTAATCTCATATATCAATGCAATCAATCAAGAAAAAGAATTGCCAGGTGTCCAGATTAGAAAGGAAGCAGTAAAACTGCCTTTATTGACATATTTCACAGCAAAGCCTGATGTCAGGGATGAAGAAGGTCATTTCATAATGACAAAGTGTCAATTTCTTCAAAGACTATGTTGTTAGGTTCCAATTCATAGTGGAACTATATATAACAAGATGAAATATTGCCCAGGCCTGCACCATCCCCACAATTCCACTGAGCTCATTCTTGCAGCCGCTGTGTCAATCCATTTCCTTGCGTATAGGAGGTGACTGAAAATACCATGGCAAGAATCCAAGTATTGCCTCCTCCCTGGGGGGTGGACAGCAGAGAAGAGGGCAAGGGAAACATCGGAAAGGGTAACATGACAGAACTATAATAATTTATGAACTATGAATGGTTCATGAGGGAGAGGGGAGGGGGGATGGAGGGGGAAATGAGCAACTGATATTAGGGGCTAGAGTGGGAGGCAAATGTTTTGAGAATGACAACAAATGTGCATATGTGCTTGACACAATGGATGTATGTATGGATTGTGATGAGAATTGTACGAGCCCCCAATAAAATAATTAAAAAATAAAAAAAATAACATGGCACGGATCCGGTCCAACTTAGTCCTCAAAGTAACATCTTTGATTTTTAACACTTGAAAGAGGTTGCTGTATAGTGATTAAGCATTGGACTGCTAAATTCACAGTCAGCAGTTCAAAACCACCAGCCTCTCTTTGGGAGACAGTTGAAGGTTTCTAATCGCGTAAAGAGTCACAGTCCTGGAAATCCACAAGGGCAGTTCTACCCTGTCCCACGAGTCTCTCGGAGTCAGAACTGACTCCACGGCAGTGAGTTGAGTTTTTGCAGCAGATTTAGTCAATGCAAGATGTCATCTGATGTAGTGAATACTTCCACAGGAAATGATTGCGAATACAAGTAAAATGAAATCTTTGGCAATGTGTTAGTCTGCGTTGACTAGAGAAACAAATCCATAGACACTCATATGTGTATGAGTGAATTTATATCAAAGAGCAATTGTACATTAAGAAAACATCCTAGCCCAGTCCAGATCAAGTCTATAAGTCTGATATTATCCCATACATCGATACTAGTCCATAAATTCCTCTTTAGACTCACACAGCCATGCAATAATGCTTGAATTCAGGATGATCACAGGCCAGTGGGTGGAAAGTCTTGTGGATCCAATGGTGGTAGAAGCATCTCAGCACTGGCATGGATCTCCACGTGGCTCCTCCAGCTCCAGGGCTCTGGCGCCATCAGCCTAGCTCCATGTGGCTTGTCATCAGGAATATAAAGCAGAGAATGTGACTGGCCTCCAGTGAGCTATTTATATTTGTTGCGCCTACAAATGAAGTCTTCAAGCAGCAACCTGATTGACAGGCTAGACTCCACCCCTTCTCAAGTTGACATTATGTAACTGCCACAGACAACCTCAATATTTTCTCCATTTACCATGATGTTGCTTACTGGGACAATTGTGGGATTCCCCTCCCTTCTTTCTTATTTTAAGGCATAGCCCATACTGAAGGCTGTATTCTTTCATCTACATCATTAAGCTCTTCAAGTTTTCTTCATTTTCAGCAATCAAGCTTCTGTCATCTGCATACCACTGGTTGTTAAAGGACATACTATCATAATTTTTATACAACTGTTAAGGATTGAGTTGTGTTCCCCTAAAAATATGTGTTTTGAATCCTAAGTCCAAGATCTGTGGTTATAAGCCCACTTAGGAATGGGTTTTCTTTGATAAGCGTA